CGAGGACGACCAGCGGCTTGTGTGCTTGGTGTGCAGGGAGTCCCAGGAGCACCAGGCCCATACCATGGCCCCCATCGACGAGGCCTTCGAGAGCTACCGGGTGAGCCGGCGGTTTACGGGGCTGCCGGTATTGCCTGGGGATGTTTACTGTTTACACCCGGCGGCTGCTATTGCCATCGGAAGCGTGAATCCTCCCCCCGCCCCGCCCCCCGAGGCTGAAGTAGTTAAACGACTCACTGATCTCAGAGCTGGGGTTAAAACTGGAATTGGGAGGGGTGGTGCAAAGCTCAGTCATCACTGCAGAATTTTCAAGGGACTCGCCTCCGGAAGCTCCTCGTTTAAGATAAACATCCTGAGAAGTTATAAACCAGTGCTGTCCAATAGAAACAAAAATACAAACCACATGTATTATTTTTTTTTAGTGGTAAAAAAAAAACCAGGTAATGTTAACTTTAATAATATATCTTGTTTAACTCAGTTATCTAAATATCGTTCAGCATCAATTGATATGAAAAATTATCAATGAGATTTACTTTTTTTTCCATGATGGGTCTTTGAAATCTGTGTGTACTTTATATTGACAGCACACATCAATTTGGACCATCCACATATCAGGTGCTCACATGGTCAATGGATGCTATATTGGACAGCCACGGGTTTATACCTATAGATGTCATACACATGATTTGGGAAAAGCCTGGCTTGGAGTGATGAGTCTGGATTTTGTTACTGGCTTCCTTCAACATCTGGGAAAATCACTTAATGTTTGAATTTGGAGATTATCTACTCTAGCTACCTTCTGAGTTAAGAAGCTTCAATTGAATAAATCAGTGTATCATGCTCTCCTCCAGCCACACTGGCCTTCTTGCTTTTGTTTCAAGCCTGTTCTCTCTGTCTACCCATGCTTTCCATCCTTTACATCCTTTTAGATTTTAGCTTGAAGACCTTCCTTGATCATCCTTTCCAGAGTAGCCCCACCCCTTCCATTACTGACGGTGTCACTCCAGTGGTCTCCATCTGAATTGGTATCTAGTAAGTACTTGTTGAATACACGAATTTCATGATGCAAGTTAAAGTGTATTGTAAACTGTAAAATGCTGTACAGTTTTATCAGCTGACTGCAGACAGGAAACAGATTCAAAGTTAAGACTGGAAAGTGTACCTTCATGTCTTTATAGAGTAAACTTTATTGATGCTTACTGTATGCTAGCCGTTGTTCTGGAATCTGGGCATAAATGGCCTTGTCTTGTAGGGGACATACTGTAGACCAGTAATTTCAGTGTGTGAGAGTTATGAGAGTTTGTGCTGAGCACCCAAAAGGTCCGAGGTTAGAGTGATCAGACAGGAGTGAGGAATGAAACGTGAATTCACTCTTGAAGGGCAAGTAAAACAAGGAAGGGGAGAGGATATTCAGGCCAAGGGAACAGCATATTCAACAGTGTGACAACATGGAATAGCATGTGCTAAACAAGAGGACTGAAGGTTCTCTAGGTACTTAAGGAGTGTAGTGCATGGGAGGGAGGGGGGTGGGAGTTGAGGCTGAAGAAAGATGGGAGGTCCCTGTCACGCAGTATCTGTCCTTTTCTGCACCCTCCTTGGCTTAGTCCCTGCTCCATTCGTCCATCTCCATCCCCACCCCAAGTTAGCCAGAAAACATTAAGTTGCTTTTGGGGGGACCTACCCTGTTCCCACCATCCCATTCCCAGCACATACTCAGATGGGTGCACTGTGTCTTAAAACTTTGGGGTTCCCTAAATCCACGGAAAATATCCCCCATCCTGCACCCACACCTGAGCCCAGCAAAGTGTGCTGGATGCTTGCTCTTAGGATCTGAGCCCCTGAGCACTACCAACAGGAACCCTGCTTTGATGAATCCCTAGACAGCTCTGCTTGCTCTCTTGGGCCACCCCAATGACTCAGGATATGTATTAGGATTACCTGGAAGCGCTTTTAAGAAATACTACCCCCTAGGGGGTCTTGATTCAGTTGGTGGGGCCCTTGGCATCAACATTGTTTAAAAGTTCTCTAGGTGATTTGAATGCCCAGATAGGATAGAGAACCACGGACCTACATCTTATTACCTTCACAGAGGGAAATCTCAGAAAATCTTTTAGAGAAGTTGTTTTTAAGAGAGTCATGGGTGCTGGGGGAGAAAAAGAGAACGGAGAAAGAGAAATGGCTTGATGAACCTTACGGAGCAAATTGTCTGCATGGAAAAGGCTTCTAAGCACAGCTCTGCCTTCCCTCATGCCACAATTTAGTCTGCTGACTCTGGGAGCTAATCCCTCCGTTGCTGTGAATTCACTTAACAAATATTTCTTGAACCACTCATCTGTGTCAGACGCTGTACCAGACACAGCGCTTGGGAATACAGTGGTGAGAAGACCGGGGAGCACACAGTCTAGCTGAGATGGGGGCGGTAAGCACCAGACAGATAATCACAGATGGTGATAACGTGCTGTGAAAGAAAGAACGTGCCATGCCAGAGAAGTGATGAGGGCTTTCATAAGGGGACAGGGTAGCCTCCTCTGAGGAGGTGACGTTTCAGTTGAGACTTGATGGATGAGGAATCAGCACCCTGAGGAACTGTGGGAAGAACATACCAGGCAACAGATAGCAAATCCCAGACCCTGAATCTGGGAAGAGCAGGACGTATGTACGGAGCTGAAGAAGAGCTGTGCACGTGGAGCTTCACGAGCAAGGGGAAAAGTAGCATGGATGAGCTGGGAGACGCAGACAAGGGTGGGGGTGTGTCGGGCCATGAGGCGTTTGAATTTTCTTGGTGACGAAGAAAGCCAATGGAGAATCTTAAGCAGGAGAGTGATGTGATGTGACTGGTTTTCAGAAAGATTATTCGGGCTTCTCTGTGGACACTGGATGAGAGAAGGACAAGGTTGAAAGTAGGGAGACCAGTCATGAGCTGACGGTTATCCAGACAAGAGACGATGGGGGTTTGAACTAGGAGGTGGCAGTGGGGGATGGCCAGTAGGCAGATTTGACATGTATTTTGGAGGTAGCCTGCCTGCTCAGATTGAGCGTGGTGGTTACAGTGACTGAAATTCACAGACCCTGAGAGCTGGGATGGTGTTTAAGAAAAGACCGTCTAGTCTAGGTGTCCTCATCTTGTAGATGAGGAAGCTGCAGCCCAGGAAACGTGAGGCTGACTTGATCACAGATCATAGCTAGTTTGTGAAGGTCTAGACTGAAACTCAGATCTGATTTGAAGTTTAATGTCATTTGAACTACGTGATCGCAAGTCAGCAAATGTCTTCATTCTATAAATGTGTGCTCTACTTTTATTACAGTGTTCTATACAAACTATTGTCTGACATTAAATGGAGAGAAGTGATTTTTTTTTTTAAACTTCTGGTACCTCTACCCGGCTTTGAAATGCTTGGTGTCGTCCTCCTGCCGCCTTGTGGGAGTTTCTGTTATTGCAGGAAGTTTTCTGATCTCCAAAGACTGGGGACCTCTTAAGATCCCAACTGTGGCAGGATACAGAAAGACTTAGGTAGTGTCTTGGATAATGGAACAGGATAATTGATACACATTGGAATTAAGAACTTTTAAAAATTGAAAAGTTCTATTTAAAATGTATTTACTCTCATTAGCAGACAAAAGTGAAAACTTAAAATCTTGGTCACGTTCAGAGGAGCTGTTTAGCTCAGTATGGGCTTTACACACACATCAAATGCGACAGTGACTCGTGTGTGTCTCTCACCTGTCTACCTCTGTCTCTGAGGTCATGCCTGACGTTCTGCTATTAGGTGCTCCCCCTCTCTGGCCTACTTTGTTCTAATTGACTCACTTAATTTTTTTAATAGCTTAAATAGCTTTTAATAGCTTTTTCCCCATGTTTTTAAATTGCAAGAAGAGTATATGCCTCTTGTAGAAATTCAAATAAAACAGACATTTATAAAATTTCCTATCCTTTCCCCTCTAACTTCCAGGCCATTCCTATTCCCCAGAGATAAGCTGTGTTAATAATACTTAGGTACATATCCTTCCAGATTCTCCTTCTGTTCAAATACAAACACACACACATGCACAGACACACATAGACTTGTTCTTTTCAAAACAGAATTATACAGTATGTATTGTTTTATAGCCTGGTTTTAACTTAATATAACATGTAAATATATTGAGAGCTGCCTGAAGTTGATGCAGAATATCAGTCTACTGTAACTTATTAATAATTCCCCATTGATGGATAATAACGCCTCAGTGAACATTCCTATACATTTGATTGTTTTTGCCTGTGTTTTGTTGGATATTCTTGTTGGAAATAGGATTATGCATATTTTAAATTTTGCTAAATCCTGCCTGTTGCCTTTCAAAAAGATGGGACCTTTTTACTCTCGCACTGTTACTGTGCCAGAGGCTTTCTCCCTTGCCAGTACTAGGTATTTATTAATCTTCCAATAATTTTTAGCTTTTGTCTATTTAATAGGCAAACTCTATATAGTGTTATGATGATTTTAGACCAGAATAGTTCTTCAGCATTGGCCTGTGGTCGTTTTCAGCATTTTCTCAATCTCATCCCCTGTTGGGATTAGGTAGCTTTTAGCTCTTGAACAGGGAAGATGCAGAGATGATTTCTTACTTATGTGTGTTTCTGCTGGCAGGAAAAACTTCTGAAGACTCAGCGTAGTCTGACAGCCAAGATGAAGAAAGCCCTGCATATCCAGGAATTGGAAGTGAAGAATGCTACAGAGTGGAAGGTAACAGCAGAAGTGGTTGGGCATTTATTGCCTTTGAGGTCCTTTCAGTCTGGGGCTGCTCAGGGGGTTATGCTGGGAAGAGCTTGCAGGATGTCATCAGTTGTCAGGCCCCTTGCAGATGCGGTGACAGAACAGGAAGTATCTCTCCCTGCTGACCTGTGGCTTTGGGCAGCGTGAGTTCCACATACTTCATCCCCATACCTCTAGGGCAGCAGCCCTCTCCTTCCCACCCTTGCCCTAGGTTGGAGTTGATTTGGGTCTGTGGCACTGTGGAAAGCAAATGGACTTCGCTTCCAGAGGTGCTAGCCTAGTCGGGAGGCACGTTGTGGGCCCACACACCCATCTAAGATTTAACATAACTGAACGGTAGGTGTTCTGAGGGCTAAGCTGAACAATAGATGTCAAAGTGCACTTTTGTTTAAAAAGTGTACCAACAAGGCACTGCTGTCTTAGTAGAGACCCAGATGCTACAAAGAATGAATTAATCTTCTAAAGACCAGTACAGAGACACCGAGTAGGTGTCAGTAAAGGACTAGGGGGAATTTGCAGGGGGTAGGCAGGAGCTTTTTCTGGGGGAGGTGATTTGGATTGGTGGGGCGTCATGTGTGAGGAATTTAGGCGCCAGGGCCAGGCAGAACGAGGACTGAGCAAATCTCACGTGGCTGTAGGAGAAAATGAAGAATCAGCGAATGAGATTCAGCGCCGAGTTTGCAAAGCTGCACCTCTTCCTGGCTGAAGAGGAGCAGTTGTTTCTCCAGAGACTGAGCAAAGAAGAAGAGGAGACAAAGAGGAAGCATAAAGAGAACACAGTAAGGCTCAATCAGATGATCATCTCCTTAAAGAAGCTCGTCTTAGAGGTGGCGGAGAAGAGCCAGAGCTCCAGCCTGGAGCTGCTCCAGGTGAGACAGGCCGGGGCACAGCACTGCGCGAACTCACTTTTGCCTTTAGACCTGAGTGTTCTTCCCAGTGAGTGGGATTAATAGAAGACATTCACCTTCAAGTGGGGTTAATTATCTCTGTTGGTAATTGTGTTGATATTGTTATTATACAGTTAAAAAGTCAAAGGTTCACTATTCAAAGGAAATTAATGTGAAATTTAGGTCTGATGAACTTGGGTAATGTGAGACACTTAGATTCTCCTGGTCTATAGTTTAGGATATGAAGCACATCTAAAACTTTCCCACTCATTTTACTTACATGTTTATGATTCTTTGTTAAGACAGTAAAACAAAGCAAGTATAAACCCACAGAGTAGATAATTGTGTCAAATTTTTAAGAGAAATGAGTCTTTCTCACTGATTTTTAATCATTACAGTCATAGCTTCATATACCTTTGTTCTTAGTCCCAGATTTTGATTGGTACATTAATTTAAGTAATTTCTAATATCCAGCAACCTTTAAAAGAGTATAATTCTAATTTATTACAATTCTAACTCATTAGTACTTAGATTTGGGTCATTAGATCAGTTTGTTATCTAAAGCCCTTTCTTTGAGTTAGTCTTTCCCTTTATATCCTCTGAGGTAAAGGGGTCCTTACAGTGTTCAATTTTTGGGTAAGATTCTACATTTGTGACTATCCCTTTTTTTTTGGTCTGAAATAATGCACCTTTGGTCTGAGACCTCTCAGAACTTCTCTTTTCCTCCATATCATGTGACTGAGGGCAAAAGAACCATTGAAGGGCGCTCTCAAGAATACCTTCAATCTACGTTACTTGTTTTTTCCCTCATCAGAAGGAAGCAACATTCTATTCTCTTAAGGAAGAGAGAAACATGGGCCTACCCACCTGTTACTTTCAGCAAGAAACTGCTAACCAGGCATTACATGTTATCTAAGTGTAATGATTTCCAAGAATTGTCTAGAACTTCTACAATTTGCTAGAGCAGTGAAGTTCCAATTACATATCCAAATATATACTATAGCAGAATCTTTGAAATAACACATTTAAACACTTTTTAAAATATGGGTTCAACATTTAGTCAGAATCTGAAACCTCAAAGATACAATTGAACCAGCAGAATTCTTACCAAAAGATGCATCGGCCAACAAATGCAAGGCTAGGGAAGTGGTTGGAACAGGTAGAGTTGGATTGGAGGATCTCAGAGCCTAAAGTTCTCTTGAATTTGTTTTACTGACCTGTCCATTTGAATGGTGTATAATGTTATCTCTGCCCTCAGTCAGCACCTCTTCCCTTCTCCGAAAAGATAGATGTCATTTCCCTGATGACTAATGAGACTGAGTACTTTTCACATACTCTTTAAAAAACCAGCTTACTTGATGTAGAATGCACATATCATATAATACACCCATTTTAAGTGGACAAATTGAGTGATTTTTATGATTTTACCAAGTTATGCAATCATTATTACCACAGTCCAGTTTTAGACCATTTCCATTGCCTCCTTAAGACCCCTTTGTGCTTGTTTACAGTTAAGCTCTGTTCCTACCCCCAGCCCCAGACAGCCTACTTTCTGACTCTACAGACTTGCCATTTCTAAATCTATAAACAGAATCATACAATATGTGGTTTTGTGTGTGGATTCTTTCACTTGGTATAATGTTTCTGAGGGTCGCTCGTGTTGTTGCATATATTGCATTGTGGACTATTCCAGGTTTTTTTAGTCTGTTTACAAATTGGTGGACGTTTGGGTTGTTTCCACCTTTGGGTTATTATGAATGATGCTGCTTTGGACATTTGCCTGCTATTCTTTGTGCGGACTTATGTTTTCATTTCTCTTGGGTAAGTAGTAGGAGCAGAATTGTTATGCTGTGTGGTTTATTTATATTTAACTTTTTGAGACACTGCCAAACTGTCTTCCAAAGTGGCCGAATCATTTTATATTCCCACTACATCCTCACTAACATTTGTCTGTGATTGAGAGAGGATAGGTGGAGAAGTAGGCAAAAAGCCAGGAGGAGAAAGAATAGAGTTCCCAGGAAAGGATCGGTTGACATTGTTAAATAGCTCAGTGGGGCCACATGAAAAAAAGACTGCATTGTGTTAGTCCATTGGCTTTGGCAGCATGAGATCATATGTTATGCTAACAGAAGCAACAGACAGAAAAATACCTACTCACAAGGTTGGGTAACAGGTCTCAAGGGGAAGGTATGTGACTTATTTCTTTCTTCTCTTCACAGAATCCAAAAGATGTGTTGACCAGGTATGAGCTCTTGCTTTTCTCTGGGGGCTTGAGTGGAGTGGTAACGGTTCAGGCTGAGCAGAGGGGAGACAAGGCCTGGGCTCCGTAGTGATCTGGGCGTTGATCTGAGGGGCTGGTGGAGGAATTCTCCTGTTCACTTTTGCTGGGAGGAATGGGAGAGAAGTAGCTGAGCTTTGGGCTTGGAACCTTCGGGTGGGAGCTGGGGGTCGTGGCTGTCCCCTGAGAAGTGCAGCCTTCTGTCCTTTTTTAGGAGTGAGAACCAGGATGTGAACTATTCCTTTGAAGTTCTGAAAGTGCAGACTCTGTGCCAGCTACCGATGATGAAGGAAATGCTGAAGCGATTCCAAGGTGAGCAGAATTTTTGGGAGTTGGAGCTCCCTAGAAACCTTCCAAATCAGAGAACGAACAGTGAGAGATGTCTGGAAAGGAAAGAGGAAAACAAAGCATGCAGCTAACAGGAAGGTCAGGAAAATGGTAATAAAAGTACTTAGGAGTAAATGAATATATGCTTCATTCAAGGAACATCTGTTAAACACACACTGTGTGTTGTAAGGTACTAGTGATACAAAAAGAAAAAGACCTGTTCTTCCTATGAATTCATAAGCCAGTTGGAGAGACAGACACATACCGCTTACTGTAACATGGTGGGATCCAGGGCTTATCAGTGGTAGAATAAAACAATTCAGAAGCACAGAGGAAGACTTCTGTTGGGGCTGAAGTGGGAGAGTTTTCCCGGCAGAGGTGACAGTTGTTTGGGCATTTGAAGGTTGAGTAGGAGTTTGCCAAGTGGAAAATGAGGGTCTACTCTTCTAAACAGAGGCAGCAGCTTGAGCTAAGTTGTGGAGAAAATGGAGGGGAGGGTGCCTGATGTGACTCGGCCATAAGGTGCACATGAGGAAAGGCAGAAGCTGAGGTTAAGATGAGTGTAGGAGAGACTGAAGATAAACTTACTAGATCTCCAGTGAAGTACCAGGGCATACACGCATTGTAACGCTGTGCACTCAGTTCTCATGCACATCCCTGAGTGAGAACCATGCTGTGGATGTCCACTTCCAGGTAAGATGAAGTAACAGGGACTAGAATGACGCTTTCCCCTGAAACTTAGTTAACCGAAAAACCCCACAACAGATGATACATAAAACAGCAGTTTTTAAAACAGTGGACATCAGGCAATGAAGGACAGTGATCCTTGGGGAATGTGTGAAACAAATGAGGGGAGCCCTGTGATAGCCCCAGCCTACGGCCTCAAGGGAGTTTCCAGGCCACCTCGGGGAGGGTAACGGGGAGCCAGGTGGATCCCCTGAGTTGAGGATGGAGCTGAGAAGCCAGGGAGAACAAAGCAGTGAGAGTTTAGAGTCCTGGAGAGGAGAGAGCTGGACAGAGAGAGAACCCTGATGATCTGCAGAGACCCCCCATGAGTACTGAGCGGAGTACTGAGCAAGCAGAGTACACGCTTGTGAAGAACTTCCGAGGTCGTGGAAGGAAATTTCCAAAATGATAAGTAATAGTTCTGGTGCTCACACAGGGCCAGGAGCCATGCCTGTTCCTGCCAGCCTCTGGAAAACTCTTACATCACAGGGCACTGGGTAGAGTACTTGGGAAAATCTTGCCTCATTAGTGGGAAATAATTAACCCTACACTGAGCACTGCTTTGGACCCACTTTACAAATCATGAAAGCAAGACCCAAAGGATGAAGTTACTTCCAAGGAACTGCATCCCAGGACAAAGCTCAAGAAGATTGAAAGGAATTTTTTAAAATGAGCACCAAACAATGTGAAATCACAATGTCTGGCATCTAGTCGAAGATTACCAGGCAGGCAGAAGGGCAGGAAAACGTGACCCGTGATGGGGAGAATAATCAACTGAAACTGACCCAGGATTACCCTGGATGCTAGAGTAAACACAGAAGGACATTGATACAGTTATTTTAAAATATTTTGTAAGAGGCATTAGGGACATGGAGGATGAAAGAAAATCCCAGATCTAACATCTAGAGATGAGAACTGCAGTGACTGAGGTGAAGAACAAGCTGGCTGGGATTCATAGGTGATTGGACACTGCAGGAGAGAAGCTCAGTGAGCATGAAGGCAGAGCAGTGGGAACTGCAGGATGAAGCAGAGAAATTTAAACAATGAGAATAGCTCAGTGAGCTGGGGACACCTTCCTGCAGCCTTACGTGTGGTGGGTACTTGGGATCCCTCAAGGAGAGAAGTGGGATGGGGATGAGACAGGAAAAACATACGAAGAAATAATGACCAGCTTTTCCAAATTTGATGAAAACTGTAAGTACACAGATCCAAGAAACTCAGCAAACCCTAAGCACGAGAAAGAGGATGAAAACACCAAAACCAGTGACAAAGAGAAAATTTTAAAGGCAGCAAGTAAAAAAAAGGCAGCAAGTTAACCAACAGTGGAACAAAGATAAAGATAACATCACATTACTCAAGCAGTGCAGATGAGTGAAATCTTAAAAGGACTGAAAGGAAAAATTGTTAACCTGGAGTTTCATTCCTGGCAAAAAATTACCCTTCAGAAACAAGGGGAAAAAAAGATGTTTGCAGATAACCTAAAACTGAAAGTGTTTACCACCAGCAGACCAACACTACAATAAATGTTAGATGAAGTCCTTCAAGCAGAAGGGAAGTGATACCAGGTGGCAGTCAGATTGACACAAAGGAATAAAAGATCTTCTGAAATGGTAATGACAAAGAAATACGTATTTTATATTAAATCTCATTAATAGATAATAGGGATGGTTAATTTGACATCTGGTCAAACATTATTTTGGGTGTTGCTGTGAGAGTGTTTTTGGGTGAGATTAATATTTAAATCAGGAAACTTGAGTCAAATGGATTGCTCTGTAATGCTGGTGGGCCTAATCTAATCAGCCGAAGGCCTGAATAGAATAAGGAGCTGATTTTTTTCCCGCTGAACAAGAGAGAATTCTACAGCAGACTGCCTTCGGACTCTGCCTGCAGATTTGGTTCTTTCTGGCCTTTGAACTGGAACATCAGTTTTCCCTGGGTCTTGCTGCTGTCACACACCGTGGATCTGGACTTCCCAGTCACCATAATCACGTGAGCCAATTCCTTACAATCTCTCTTTATGCACACATCTCCTACTGGTTCTGTTCTCTGGAGAACCCTGACAAATACAGTAACTGTCTGTTTAAACAGATAGAAAATAACATTTTTGGAGTTTATAACACATTTACAAGTAAAATGTACAATGATTGCATGAAGGAGGGGAAATGGAAGTCTACCATTTACACAGGTCTTACACGTGGAGTGGTATAATACCACTTGAAGATAGGCTGTTAAGGTAGAGGTATACTACAAACCTTATGGCAGCTGCTAAAATAAAACAGTTACAGCTGATAAGTCAACAAAGGAGATAAAGTGGAATCATAAAAATACTTGGTTAATCAGAAAGAAGGCAGAAAAGAGGAAAAAAGTAGGACAAATAGAAAACACAAGATGATAGACACAAACCTAATCGTATTAATAATTACATTAAGTATAAATGGCCTGAATATCCTACTCAGACGGGAGAGATTGGTTGGATTGGATTGAAAAAGCAAGACCCAACTATATGCTGTAAGAAACAAACATTAAATATAAAGGCTAACATATGGTAGAAGTAAAATAATGGAGAAAGATACATACACATGCTATACATTTAGTCAGGAGAAATCTGGAGTGGTTCTATTCAAATCAAGTAGATTTCAGAGCAAAGAATATTACCTGAGATAAAGTCAGTTCCTCATGATAAAGGGGTCAGTTTATCAGGAGGATGTAACAGTTCTAAACATTTATACGCCTAATAACAGACCTTCAAAATATATTAAGCAAGAACTAATGGAGCTGCAAGGAGAAACTGACAAATCCAGTTATAGCTGGAATTTTCAATATCTCTTAAAAACATTTTTTATAACAAGCAGGCAGAAAATCGTAAAGTAGACTGAGTAACACTGTCAGTTTTCTTGAATAACACTGTCGACCAGCCTGACCTCACTGCACCAAACAACAGC